TATATATATATATATATATGTATATATATATATATATATATATATATGTATATATATGTATATGTATATATATATATATATGTATATGTATATATATATATATATATATGTATATGTATATATGTATATATATACACGTATATATATATATATATATATGTGTGTGTATGTATATATACACACACACAGTATATTACCACACGGGGCACCAAAGCAGCCATATTAAAATATTAAAGTGGAACTTTTACACATGGTTTTAGAAAGAGCTGCACAATGTCACATGACTTCCTTTTAGCTGCTACTAGCAAAACATACCTGAATCTCCTGTTAAGGAGGTTTCGTTGCATTGTGGGTAATGTAGCAGCCAGGTTATGACAGGGAAGAAGAGAGAATCAGGGGGAAAAAAGATAACATACAAAAACAACTAGAGACCAACTTGCGATGGGATCACATGACCAGTGGCTTAAAGTGGTCAATGGCCCCCTTCCCACTTCCTACCCCCGATGCTCTTCTTGTAAAACTGGTATAGTTTCCGAAGTACAGCTTGCTCGCAGTATCGCAGTGACATATCTGTCCACAGACAGACAGACAGACGGACATATAAACACTTGTCCACTGTGGTAGTTCTTGCTGCAGTAGGTGTCTCCAAGACCACATTTTGTATGATAACAGGTTGTAAACAAAACCAGCGTTCCGGCTGGTAAAAATAAATTCAAATTCACAGCCTTTCTCTCTTTTCACATAACAACCCCTGACAAGAGTTACCTATGTAACTATAGTTCTATGAATTTTACGTGACTGTCACTGACGGTATGTAATACCTGGATTTCCACAAGGAAACGACACAGATTTGTTTCGCTTTGCACAGAGTTACTCAATTTTCTATGTAAAATGGCAAATAACTGTTGCAATGAACACTTTAGATTGAAACCAGAGTTGATAGTGGAATAAAGTGATTGTACTTGTGCAAGGGGGTCGTTTACCTCAGAATAGACTTTTTTTTGTACCCTGCTGTTGACCCCCTTAACCCCTCTCTCCGTCCTCCAGGTATTTGACCTCCACTCAGGGCCAAAGCCGGTGGTGTTCGTCCTCCACTCCTTCCTGTCAGCCAAGCTCACCCGAATGGGCCTTCTGACGTGAAACAACCGACCACGGGACCTCTGTTCCGTGCCCGGGCCTGGCGAGGAGGAGGGGGAGGGAAGACGCTCCCAAAACGCTGATACCGGGGTGTTGATTTTCAATTTCTTTTTGTTCTTTTTTTTGTTTTCCAATTTCTCCATTCACAACTGAAACTGCAAAGGCAGATTTGACCCCCTGAAGCTGTTGATTGTCTGTCTGAAAATTGTGCCTCTTCTAACTTCTCCTCGGCCTATTGTAATCATTTGTATTGCGAGGTCGGGAATAAGGAAGTGGCGCTTTGCTTGAAGTCATGAGGTGTCGGGAGACGGTTACACACAAAAAAAAGGTGTTGAAAAATCAAAGAACATTCCATTATATTATGTATGATTATCTGATACGATGTTAAAGACTCCATGACCCGTGGAATTCTAGCAAAGTGTTACTGAAATACATGAGGGAAAGGAAGGATTTTTAGACGATGAATACACAGCCAAGCACAGATCGGTGAATGTTCCCTGTTTTGAACTCTATGCCTATCATTCCACAACAGCCTTCCAATGTAGTTTGGGCTCTTCTTAATGCATTTGTGTGGCCGCTGTTTCACCGTCAGAATGCAGTTTAATGAGCTCTGTGTGTGTGTGTGTGTGTGTGTGTGTGTGTGTGTGTGTGTGTGTGT